TTCGGAAGGGTTGTGTTGCTGCTAATAGTGGATCAGCATTTTGGTCTTGGTGGTCATCTCTTGGTGAGGCAATGGATTGTCGGCAACTTTATGTTTTATATAATAAGGTAAAGTCATTTACCCAAAATGTGCTGTGTACAATACTAAGCACTATAAACTTTAAGAGAAGTTGTTTGTTAAATATTTTACTTCTGAAATTGTAAGAGTACATTTGAGAAATTCCTATGAATTTATGCTTATTAATTTCATTTTTTAAAACTAAACATGCCAAACCAACATTAGTTCAAAAACATAATTTGGGAAAACCTCCTTGAAAAGGTCCTATTGATGCATGATGCTTGTTCTCAGGAAATGGAGGAATGACATAGTTTCTATGCTGCTTTATATTATAGATTACAATTATTATTCCTTTTGAGGTGGCACTGTTAGTTGTTTCATGTATACTTTTGATCACATTCTTCTTTTGTATGAAATGCAGTGTTAGGCTAAATTGGAGGATAAGGAAGATGATAATCTAGGATGCCATCGTCATTGGCAACAGTTTGAAGGGCCATGTGGTATGGTATTGATTAACAATCGTTTATCATTTATAATGGCTTCTTAATTCTCTTCCTCAAACATTTGTATAGCTTTAAGATGCATTTAAGTGGAATTTAATTTACTGTATTGATGTGTGTGAGTGTGTGTGGACCTTCCATGTTTATGTATGAATTGCTTACCCTGTGCTCTGTGCGTGTGTGACTTTCAATATTTATCTATGAAATATTGAAATGCTTTCCCTATGTTATGGATGAAATTGATTTGTTGTTTTCTAGCATTCTCTTTAGATGGGAATAAGGATTATGGAGGTATTTGTTTTTCCTTCTCGTTGCAAGTGGCTAAACATAAATTATAATCACAATTTAGCCTCTTTGTTTTGCATTTCCATAACAGATAAGTATAAGTCTCGTTGGAGTAGGTGGTGGACAAAGGAGGATGAAAAAACATACTGTAAGGATTGGTCAAAAGTATATGAGAAGGTAAAGTTCTTTTAGCAGTAGTCTCTATTATGGAAATGCAAAACAAAGAGGATAAATTGTGATTACAATTTATGTTTAGGCACTTGCAACGAGAAGGAAAAACAAATACCTCCATAATCCTTATTCCCATCTAAAGAGTATGCCAGAAAACAACAAACCAATTTCATCCATAACATAGGGAAAGCATTTCAATATTTCATAGATAAACATTGAAAGTCACACACGCACAGAGCACAGAGGAAGCAATTCATACAAAAACATGGAAAGTCCACACACACACTCACGCACATCAATACAGTAAATTTAATTCCACTTAAATGCATCTTAAAGCTATACAAATGTTTGAGGAAGAGAATTAAGAAGCCATTATAAACGATAAACGATTGTTAATCAATACCATACCACATGGCCCTTAAAACTCTTGCCAATGAAGATAGCATCCTAGATTATCATCTTCCTTATCCTCTAACGTAGCCAAACACTGCATTTCATACAAAAGAAGAATGTGATCAAAAGTATACATGAAACAACTAACAGTGCCACCTCAAAAGGAATAATAATTGTAATCTATAATATAAAGCAGCATAGAAACTATGTCATTCTTCCATTTCCTGAGAACAAGCATCATGCATCAATGGGACCTTTTCAAGGAGGTATTCCCAAATTATGTTTTTGAACTAATGTTGGTTTGGCATGTTTAGTTTTAAAAAATGAAATTAATAAGCATAAATTCATAGGAATGTACTCTTACAATTTCAGAAGTAAAATATTTAACAAACAACTTCTCTTAAAGTTTATAGTGCTTAGTATTGTACACAGCACATTTTGGGTAAATGACTTTACCTTATTATATAAAACATAAAGTTGCCAACAATCCATTGCCTCACCAAGAGATGACCACCAAGACCAAAATGCTGATCCACTATTAGCAGCAACACAACCCTTCCGAAGTTCACCTTCCATATATAATGAACATAGATATAAAGAAATTCCATCATAAATACAACATCCTCAGAAAGCATTAGCATCTAGTTAAAACAACTCATTAGCAGTAGTCATTAGCCACTTGCAGTAAATAGGATAAACCTCCAGGGAATATGTCTCTCTGAACCATTAGTATTACATCAAAGTAGTATACCTCCAAAACACAGAGGCGAAAGGGGAGTTTGCAACCCAAAAAAGTTGATAAAACATAAACAGAATAGCCAAAAGAAAAGAAATATAGATAACCCTGCAACCAAAAAACTTGAAAAACTTGATAACGCCTAACATCTACCACTAGGAAAAGAAAAAGGATAGATAGAATCTCTACTTCTTTACCAGCAGGGTGGAGGTTATAACTTACCATCTTTACTATTCTTAGATGTTAAGCCAGAAGATGAATGAAACCCTTTGCACATCAAAACAAAATATTACTAGAACAAATAGAGAGAGGAAAACATTGAAACTATAACAATAAAAGAGGTTGATTAAAAACAAATGATGGATTAAAACAAAATATGGCTATGCAATTAAACAAATAGAGTATTCGTCAATCTTGACAAGGAGAGTCATGCTAATTACGACACTGACATAAGATCAAGCTTAGTAGAAGGACAAACTTCCTTCTACTCTTCCTCCCATAACAGAAATCAGAATGTGAAAGAACACAAACCAAATCAGTCATACGTCTCCGTATTACTGCCAACCGCACTTCCATGTTCAAAAATTTCAATATCTTGGGGAAACTAATTCAATCACACACAGATATATCTTTGCCGATTCTTGATCTAGAAAAGAACGCAATTTCGGGACACTGACCTCCGCTTCTGCCTCCGCCTCCGCGACCACCGAAACGACCCATACCTCCAGACTTGCAAAAAAAAAAAAATTTAAATAAATAAAAGCAGGTTAAGATAGCTTATATTTGGGCAGGAGAGGATGGGAATAGGAAATCAACCGAAAAGCAGCGAGAGTTTGAACATTTAATGATTACCAAGCAGCTAAGGAAATAAATGGCAAAATTCAAGGAGAAGAAGGATTGGGGAAAGGCAGTACCCTCAAATCGCCCCTGAAAAATATGGGTAGGGACGGATTCACCCCTCAAAAAAAAGCATTGACAAATGACACCCCAAAAGTATCGATTTTCTCAAATCGATCATTATCTAACAGGCGACGTCATCACCGTCACGATCTCCATTTAACCTGTACTAACGTGTCGTTTTTTCACACGCTGGATGCTGATGTGTACCGAAGAAAAGATCTTAGGTTTCGTAATACAACTAGAAACAGAATCTATACTACCCACTTGGTTTCTTCCTCCATTTCAATTTTCTTCCATTTTTTTTCCCTCTTGATGTCTCTGTCTCTAAGGCCCCCACCACCCAGCAACAGTTCTCAGTCTTCCCTCATTAAATAAATCATGCCCACTTCACGTTTCCGATTGTGTTATTTTTAATTAAAGTTTTTTCAACTGGGACAAATAAAGTTCTAATCTTTGTCTGTGTTCGTAGGCGTCTTTTTTTTTTTTAAGTCATTTTTATTGGGTATATACTCGTCGGCGATGCCGTCACCGGTGACAGTGGCCAGGCAATGCTTGACGCCGGAGGCATCCAACGCACTTGACGAGGCAGTTGGGGTAGCTTGTCGAAGGGGTCATGCCCAGACCACCTCACTTCACGCGGTGTCGGCACTCTTGTCGCTCTCTTCTCCCCCTTTGCGTGAGGCCTGCGCGCGGGCTCGGAACGCTACGTACTCCTCGCGCCTTCAGTTCAAGGCACTGGACCTGTGCCTGAGCGTATCGCTGGATCGCGTGCCGTCGAGTCAGTAGGTCGGGCATGAACCGCCCTGTCGAACTCGCTCATGGCGGCAATAAAACGGTCCCAAGCCAACCAGCGGAGGCAGCCCGAGAATTTCCATCTGTATCGCGATATCTCACAGCAGAACCTGTCCAATATCTCGTGCATCAAAGTCGAGTTGCAACACTTGATTTTGTCGATTCTCGATGACCCGGTAGTTAGTCAGGTATTCGGCGTAGCGGGTTTCCGGAGCTCCCAAATCAAGCTCGCCATTATCCAGCCGCTCCCCAATCTCCTTAGATACCCTCGACCACGCGGTCCTCCTGTCTTCCTCTGTAATTTGGAGAATTCGAATCCAGACAACGACCGGGGCCCTCGTCGGAGTTTCAGCTTCCCGTTTCCGAGCTTTGCCGCCTTTTTCGACGGAGAAGAAAACTGTAGAAGGATTGGCGAGGTGTTAGCGCAGACGAGGAATCCCTTGCTTGTGGGCATCTGTGCTCGTGATACGCTCACGAGCTTCATAGATAGCGTGGAGAAGAAAAAGGATGGTATTTTGGCTAAGGAGATTTCTGGTTCAAACGAAATCGGCATTGCAGTGATGTTTCGAGGTTTATTAATGGGGATGTTTCGACCAGGTCCAGCTCCAGAATTAGAAGAAGATTTCATGCGAATAAACTCACAAACACCCAGAATCTTTTCCCCTCAACTAATTTTAGGAAGGAATTGCAGAAATGAGAGAAAGCCTTGTGGTTTTGTGGTTTTGAAGGTTTTTTGGTTTTGAATTGAAGAGAACCCTAACCCCCAACTTTGAAAACTCTGAATTAGGGCAAACAAGTTGGTCATCAAATATCGATTAAAAATGGAATAAAAAGTGCGACCCACTAGTCACATTGACAAACAAAGGGCGCACAAATGACACGGTGTGTGAAAAAGAGTGGAATTGGTACACATCAGCATCCAGCGTGTGAAAAAATGACACGTTGGCACAGGCTAAACGGAGATCATGACGGTGATGACGTCGCCTGTTAGATAATGATCGATTTGGGAAGATCGATACTTTTGGGGTGTCATTTGTCCCTGCTTTTTTTTTAGGGGTGGATCCGTCCCTACCCATATTTGTCAGGGGGTGATTTGAGGGTTCTGCCTTGGGGAAACATGATGGAATGGTCTAGTCTGAAGAGCAATATATCTAGGTTGGCGACTAGTTGTGGGCTAGGCTAGGAGGCAGCAATGACAAGCCTGGCTCGTTTTTGTGATGGGCCTGATCCATACAAAAAAAACCTCTCTTGTCTTGGTGGGCGGTGACTGGTTAGTTCACATACTCACAGTCACTGGGTGAGTTCACTGTTCACCTACTTACGGTCGCTGGGCCGCCCCTCATAAGTATTAACGAATCTTTTCTTTGGGCTCATAATACCACTTGCAAGAAGTGTCGAGGATCAGAGAGGTAACATTGTGTAATCTGAAATTGCAGAGGTAATTAAGAAGCCCTTAGCCAGAACAACATCGTTTTGCGTTAAGGAATTTTTTTTTTTTTTAATTTGGGCATAATGTTTACCGATTGAAATTTTGGTGTTTCAATCGGCACATCAAATTTCGATCAATACGTCAAATTTTGATCGAATCACTCAAATTTTAACCAAAACAAAATTTTATTTTATAATATTTTGATTAATTTAAAAAATCGACCGACCATACCAATTGATACAAAACGGTATTGGTAACATTACCTGCAGTCCACATGGGTTAGCAATGTGCATAAAAGACTTTAGCTCATGCTCACATCGAAATGCCTATAAGAACAATTGTAACATTTTTCCCTTTCACCAAAATCCTCCTTTGGTCAAAAAAAAAAAAAACAAAACAAAACAAAACTTGCTTTCAAATCTACGCCCAAGTTAACACATATTGCAATGTAAATGCTTCCGCATTTTGGTACCGGATTCTTACAATCCCACACACGTGCTCACAGTTTACAATTTCAGAATTAGAGATCGGGGGAGGTGTACAAAACATCCCCATAAAAGTATGAGTAGTTCCAAATAGAAGTCTAGTACGAAGCCACCTGTCCATTTTTTTCTCTTTTTTTTTTTTTTTGGATTTAAAAGTTAAAATTAGTTTGCATTTATTTTAAAATTAATTCTTTCCAAGATCTAATTAAAGAGAGGTTATTTTTGTTAAGATTAAGAAATTTATAAAAAAAATATTTTTTTATTAATCTCTTTAAAGACTTTAATCAACAAAATAAAAAATAAATTATTTTATCAACTAAATCATAACTTTTTAGATAAAACCATCAGTTTCCTCAATAAACTTTGAGGTTGGAAATTTTCAGTTCATATATAAGCAAATATTGTAAAAATTTAGGGACACACATGCATACCCATTGGTAAGATGGTATAATCTTGGGTTTAGGTTTTCCATTCAAGAATTAGTGTGGAATCGTTGCTAACATGCCATGAAACCTGAAAAGTTTGTCGAGCGCCCGCAGAAGTACAATGATTAAGAAGCTGTTTAAGTCGAGAAAAATTGAAACAGGGTTTAGCATCCAGATACAGAGCACTTCAAAGATTCACTTAGAAAAGGATATCAACACTAGAACCAAATGAATCCCAATTGGGAAGCATAGGATATAAACATATATGGTTGAAAGAGGGCCACCTCCCCTGGCTTCTGGACATGACACTATGTTTTATATAGGTTGGAGGGTTGTCATATGTGTTACCGACTAACAATGACGCCTCACTATCTCACATCAAATTATAGAGGATACATAACTCCCTTATGACCAAAATTTGACTCTCATCAAATAATTCTTATCATGCAACTTAGTACGATCTAACTACACAATGCTTTTCTTAAAGAATAATCTTTGTTTTGAGCACAAAAGACAGTGATTTGTAAAGGATATGCCCAACTCAACAAGTATTTGAATGGACCCAAAATGATGAATTGAAACTTAATGCCCAACTTGACAATGTTTTGTGATTATTACTTTTAATATTGCATTGTAGTTGGCGGTAATAAGCAATTGGCTTCTTAATACAGTCGACTGAAGAAAGATGCAAATGCAAAACATGACCACGAGGTAGAGTAACCACCTCAGTCCCAGTTAGCCTTTCCACTTCGAAAAATAAGGTCACCCAGACTCTTCAACATGCCTGCCAGTCCCCAACCACCACCACCACCACCATTGCTTTCGGCGTCACCTCCACTGCCAATGTTGTCTGCATCACCTCCAGTGTCCATGTTCTTAACTCCAATTTTCGAACCAAATGATGCCCCTTTTTTTTTAACGGCTTGCATATCTTTCATTTTAACTCTTATGTAAGCTGACTACAACAATACCTTCTTCTCAATAAGCTTCTGGATCATAACAATTGTGCACCTAGTTAAGTCAACCTTTGTATACAATTTATCACGATCTTTGTTAATCACACTCACGATAGAACCAATATCCTCAATAACTTTCTCCAAACCATGTTCCCTAATATCAGCAGCCAGACCGAGCAATTAGGCAATCTTTTTTTACTATTGAAGAGGTAATATTTACCTTATCCATTTTCCTCATAACTTGGCCCATCGGCTTTAAAACCAAAGTCTCAACCTCAATGGTGGGGCAGTCCTCCCGAGCAAACACCTATACTTCACCTTGTATTGGTATGACAACCGTTTTCATCTCAGTAATAAGCTTCTGGTCCTTCAACTTTGAAACTAGAGAACAGGCTCAACAATAAGATAGTCTACCTGAACGAATATCCATGCCTCCTCTGGTACCAATGTGATGACCTTCTTCATCTTAATGCCAGTCTTCTGGTCCTTCTCATCTAACTTAATAATCACCTCGTTGCAGACAGAGCTGTAAAACCTTTTCAAGATTGTCTTTTGGACAAATCTTCCACTTGCCAAAGCATTGATGCTGGTTTGGTGAGTTGCAGTGGGAAAAGCAAAAGGAAGATGAGATGTTTGAAAAGAACAAAGGGATGCTAGGAGAAGGAAAGGGATGATGGGATGGATGAAATTAAAAGAAAGAAGCCAATATACAGTTGGTAAGGCCTACTTGTTGATAGTTCGTAAGAATGGAATATTAGAACCATGAATTTGCAAAAGGCTATAGGTAAATTGATTCAATCCAAGATTAGTTGCTTTGGTTGGCGCCTCTTCCTTAATGGTCTCCCAACAAAATTAGGCCTTGTAAAAAGGGGCATCTAGCTTGAAGAGGTAAAGACTATTTGCTACATTTGTAGAAGGGAGCTTGAGGATGATAACCATTTGTTTGTTCAATGTTCAAAGATTCAGGGACTATGGATGAGATGCTACAAATGGTGGGGGATTTCCCTCTCCCTCCCCAATACAATTTCTCTTCTATGTGAAGCTCATTGTATATGGATCAAAAAGTTGGTCAATCTAATGTTTGGTTTCTGATTGTCTTAGTGGCTACATGGTTCATATGGTACACAAGTAATTATATTATTCACAACTCACAACAATGGGATGAAGACAAAATTTTCTATTTAATTCAAAGGACTTTTGCATGGATAAGGGGAGATCTACTAAGATTGTTTTCCCCTTTTTCCACTTGTGCAATTCCCCTAATCTATGTGTTCAAGAAATTACCAAGAGTTAGATTTGTCATTGATATTCTTTTTTTGGAATAACTTTATAGGTGTTCTTTTTGTAATGCATACTTTAGCATATTTATATAGCTCATCATGATCTTTATCCACAACCTTGTACTTGTGCCAATTTTTATGAGAACTTTCTTCCACTCATGCTCCTTGACATCAACAACAACTCCTACTAGTTGGGTGACATTTTTTACTGTTGATGTGGTAACATTGACCTTGTCCATTTTCCTCATGACTAGCCCCATTGGTTGAGAGCTTACCCCAACTAGTAAAAGTTGTTGTTGATCTTAAGGAGCATGGGTGGAAGAAAGTTCTCATAGAAATTGGCACAAGTACAAGGCCCATGGATAAAGACCATGATGAGCTGTATAAAAATACAAAGTTATCTGGGAAAAAACCTATAAGATGGAAAACTTATTGAGCAAAAGTTGTTGGGGAGTCTCTTCTCTTTATAACTATAGGACCCTCTAGTTGTTAGCTTCAACCATTTGGGTGTTGTCAGCTTCAACCATTTGGGTGTTGTCAGCTCTGACTTTGTGGGTGTTCTCAGCACCCATTTAAGTGTTGTTGGCTCCGGCAGATATAGTGACCTCATTCTTTACCTATACCTCAAAATACTCACTTCTAGTAAATGCAATAAATAAATTAAATTAAAAAAATTAATACATAAACATAACATATGTTGGGCTTAGTCAAAAATCAATGAATTTTTTGGGTAAAAATAAACTTGATACATTTGAGACTTGAACCCAAGCTTTTTTTTTTTTTTTATGATGAATAAGAGCTTTAACTACTAGAGCCACTTCAAATTCTTTTAGCCCAAAATGAATGAAACCCATTTTTTTATAGTCTCTCTTGTTTCCTTTACACACATCTTTTCAACAACAAAACTCCTTTGTTGGAGCACTTTCTCTCTAAAACAATTAAGAAAAATCTCTCAACCACCACAAAAATAACTAGAATGTGATATAAAGCAAACTTCTTTACAACTTAGGCATCTCATGCCAAGCCGAAGTTAACCCGTGTTACGGCACCCATCATTAACGACACCTGGGTTTTCACTAACTTGCCTAAGAAAGAAAAGGAAATATTAGTCACTAACCCACATGGTAAGACCAAAAGTTAGTGAGACCTAGATTTTTACCAACTCGAAGGAGGACAAGGAAAGGAAGTCAACGGAAGGTGCGGAAGGCTTACCTAGTAAAGTGATGGGAATTTGGGTAAGATAGTTGGTGTTGCCCATGCAGTTTACAAATTGGTTTATAAGGATACTGGAGGGAGGATAGCTCAGAAGCTATCACTGATTAACACTGAAAAAGAGAAAACTAAATCAAAAATATATTCAACCTCTTCAACAACTAATGCGATCTTCATGAAGGTTAATAACATTAAAAAGCTACTATTGAATCAGGAAGGTAAAAAGGAAAATGAAAGTGTGGCTATAGGAGCAAGAGTAGGAGGTGGAAAAAAAAAGGAGAGATTTCTATAACAGTGAGATGTTTTTATTATGGAAATTTTAAAATTTTTCTAGTTTATAATACACAAATAAGAAATAACTGAGTTTTTCTTTTGTTTTGAATTTTGTTTTGCGATTTTGTTGGCATATTGAAGATTCTCATTCTGATCATGGCAAGAATGAAGGTAGCAACAATGGGGGAGGCAATAACAACAATAGAGACAACGAGGGAAGCAATAACAACAGTGAAGCCAAACAGTGGCAACTGTTAGCATATACTTTTTTTTTCTTTAATTTATCAGCATTTGTATTTGAACATTATATCCAAAAATAACTAGTTTGTTTTTTCTTTTTCATTTTTGTTAGGTGTAGATGCTAGTGGAGCTAATTATGGTAATGATAGTGGAAATGGCAACTGAGTAAATGGATTTGATTTAATTTGATTTTTATTATGGTTTTTGTTTTTTGGATAAGGCCTAGAATCCTTATAAATTTGGTGAACTATTTAAAATTGATGACTCAGTTGGATACTCAGTGAGAGTGGTATTGAACGTGGTGGTGGCGCGTGGTTGGTGCCATCGAAAGCATCCTCAATCCTTAAGCATATGGATAATAAAGAAATTGCTCAATCTTATGTTTTTTTTTTATTATTATTATTTTGATTGATCAAGTGGTTTTTTTTTCTTTTTTTTTTTTTTAACTAAAACCTCAAACACAACTACAAGTTATGAATTTGAGAATGTTACTAGTAAATGTTAATATGTTCTGTGACTTCTCTTTGCATTTGAATGTTTTTTTTTTCCCAATTTTTTACTACATTTTCGATGGGTTTGAACTCAGTTAAATCATGGAAATGACTTGTGAATCGAATGATGGGTTTTGGTGATAGTTTTCATGAGAGAGTGTGTAAAATTTTTTACTACTTTTCCAATGGGCTCCTACACTTAAACTTTTTTGTTTGGCCCAAAGCACTTGGTCTTGTTAAAAATACTTGGCTTTTTCTATTTGAGTCTAAAACCCTTGGGCTTTTCTATTTGGGTCAAAAACACTTGGGTTTTTTTGTTTAGTCAATAGCACTTGGGTTTTTCCATTTGAGTTAAAAATACTTAAGCTTTTCGGTTTGTGTTAAAAACACTCAAACTTTTCTGTTTAGATTAAAAAAACTTAGACTTTTCTTGTTTGAGTTAAAAATACTTAGGCTTTTCAGTTTGTGTTAAAAACACTTGGACTTTTCTTGTTTGAGTTAAAAATACTTAGTCTTTTTAGTCTGTGTTAAAACACTCGAACTTTTCTGTTTGGGTTAAAAACACTTGGACCTTCCAAAGATTGCGTTAAAACACTTGGACTTTCCAAAGATTGGGTTAAAACACTTGGACTTTCCAAAGTTTGGGTTAAAACACTTGGACTTTCCAAAGTTTGGGTTAAACCACTTGAACAATTTTGTTTGAGTCAAAAGCACTTAGATTTTCTATTTTGGTTAAAAATATTTGGACTTTCTTGTTTGAGTTAAAAATACTCGGGCTTTTCTTTTTGAGTTAAAAACACTCAGACTTTCTATTTGGGTTTAAAACACTTAGACTTTCTTGTTTGAGTTAAAAATACTTGGGCTTTTTTTTTTTTTTTTTTATACTTGGGCTTTTTTTTTTTTTTTTTTGAGTTAAAAGCACTGGAGTTTTCTGTTTGGGTTTAAAACACTTGCACTTTTTTGTTTGGGTCCAAAGCACTTAGATTTTTCTGTTTTGGTTAAAAACACTTTGACTTTCTTGTTTGAGTTAAAAATACTTGGGCTTTTCTTTTTAAGTTAAAAAGACTTGGACTTTTCTATTTGAGTTAAAAACACTTAGGCTTATCTACTTTAAATTAAAAACAATTGGGCTTTTTTGTTTAGGTCCAAAACACTTGAGATTTTTTTTTTTTTTTGTTTAAGTTAAAAATACTTAAGCTTTTTTGTTTAGGTCAAAAACATCTAAGCTTAAACTTAAAGGCCCATTTTTTTATTTGGACTAGAAGCTCCATTAACTCCACCTTCATGGTCTTTGTTAGTCCCAACTCTATTTACTTTTTGCAAATTCAATTTTTGAATGAAAGGAACTTTTTTTTTTTTTTTGAGAAATTGCTATTTCCTTCATTTTGACCCTTATCTATGCTAACTTCACCAACACCTTTTGCTTAATAAGGATTTGGTTTTTAGTGGTTTTTTACTATATAAATTTAGTATTTATATAAAGGTCATCCTGATCTCTATTCACCACACCTGAACTTGAACTAATTTTTAACAAAATCGTCTTCCATCTATACTCATTAATATCAATAGCAACACCTATCAATTGTCTAGCATTCTTTATTGTTGATGCAATGATGTTCACTTTGTCCATCTTCCTCAACACAGGTCCATTGGCTTATAGCCTACAACTAGTGGCTTAGGGAAAACCTCCATCTCAATTGTGTGGCACTCTAGTTGAACAAACAACCTTGCATTGGTATGACAACCCTTTTCATCTCAATGATAACCTTCTGGTCCTTCAGCTTTGAAACTAGAGCCTTCACAAGCTCAACAATAAAACAATCCACCTGAACGAATACCCATGCCTCCCTAGCTATTGGTGTGATAACCTTATTCATCTCAACGCCAGCCTTTTGGTCTTTCTCATCCAACTTAATAATTACCTCGTTGTGTACAGAGCTGCAAAACCTTATCAAGATTGTCCTTTGGACAAATCTTCTACGCGCCAAAGCATTCATGGTGGTTAGGTGGGTTACGACAAGAAAAATTTTGAAAAGAATGAGGGGATGCTAGGAGAAGGAAAGGGATGATGGGATGGGATGGGATTGGGATGGATGCAATAGAAAGAAAGAATCTGAGGTGTGAGAATGGCTGGGAGTGTTAGGCCGTGTCAGCACATAAAATATAAGTCAAAATAAGCAAAATGGATGGATAAGTAATTGGGCTTCGGCCCATTTTATTGTTAACCGAGAAATCGAAATATTTATTATGGGTGACTAAATAAGATCCACTGTTTGGTTGAGGTAAGCTTAGTGAATTTGAGAGTATTTACTATTACTACAACAGTTAATAACTTTTGCTAATAAAAAAACAACTAAGAACTAGTTTGTTTTTGGATATAAATTATACTAGTTAATAAGAGTTAGTTTTCTTTTTACTATAATATTGACTTGTATCCATGTGCCAAAATAATAATAATATGAATAATATTAACTTGCATGTAGAAAAAAAAAATATTGACTTGTCATTTCTATTTGGGTCAAAAACACTTGAGCTTTTCTATTTGGATTAAAACACTCGAGTTTTTTGTTTGGATTAAAACACTCAGACTTTTTGTTTGGGTTAAAAGCACTTATGTTTTTCTATTTGTGTTAAAATTACTTAGACTTTTCTGTTTAAGTTAAAAATACTTAGTTATTCTATTTGAGTTAAAAACACTCAAACAATTATGTTTGGGTTTAAAACACTTGGACTTTTCAAACATTTGGGTTAAAATACCCAAACTTCTTTGTTTAGATGAAAAACACTTAGGTTTTTTTATTTGGGTTAAAATCACTTGGACTTTCTTGTTTGAGTTAAAAATACATAGACTCTTCAACATGCCCACCAATCCCCAACCACCACCACCACCACCATTGCTTCTAGCGTCACCTCCACTGCCATTGTTGTTTGCATCACCTCCATTGTTAGTGTTCTTAACTCCAATTTTTGAACCAAATGATGCCCCCTTTTTTTTGAATGGCTTGCATATCCTTCATTTTAGCTCTTATGTGAGCTAGCTACAACAATACTTTCTTCTCAATAAGCTCTTAGATCACAGCGGTTATGTGCTTAGTTAAGTTAGCCTCGACATACAGTTTATCATGATCTTTGTTAATCACTCTCATAGTATAAACAATATCCTCGACAACTTTCTCCAAACCATGTTCCCTAATATCAGCAACAACAGCCAGACTAAGCAATTGGGTAGCCTTTTTTACTGGGTTAAATACCCTTTTTGGTCCCTCTACTATAGGAAAAAGCCCTTTTTTAGTCCCTGTACCGAAAAAATCCCCTTTTTGGTCCTTACTGTTCACAAATCCGGCCCCT